ATGAATATAATATACAAGTTTCACTTTTTAAATGGAATTACTGAAATCAATCTACTTTTTCATGATATTCTAATTTTATGACCAGCACCTGTAGTGACAGGTTTACTATCCATCTACAGCACTGATTTTTCTACAATCCATAATAATATAGTTAGATTACTGCTATAAAACATTTGCACTTTTTCCATTTCGTTCTAATAGAATAGAAAATCCCTTTATTGTCCCACAATGGTGAAAATGTGCTGTTTACAGCAGCAAAAAGTTTATAGAAAAAATGGTCACACAATGTGGACCTTAGAAAAGTGTATAAAATTACAGAATAGTGAAAAGTAAAAAAAAAAAATAAACAAAATACTTTACTGTAAAGTGTTTTTTTACAATATAAAACTTTGCACATTGAGAATAAATAACCAATATACAACTATGGGCATTTTTTTTTTTTTTTACGTGGCATTTAATTTGTGGTATTTACAGAGTTCCTGGTTTCTGTGATGTAAAGTTTAGTGCAAACTTGTTCAAACTAATAGAATAGAATAGATAAATCCCTTTATTTTCCCACAATCAGGTAATTGTGGTGTTAAAGCAGCAAAAGGATTATAGCAAAAGTGGTCCCACAAATGTGAACTCTAGAAAAGTGTATATAAATAACAGAATAGCAAAGAGTTATATTATAAACAAATAAAATGCTGTACTGTAAAGTGTTTTTATGATATAAATATTGTGCACCTGGAGAATAAATAATCAATACACAGCTGTGGCCATGTTTTCACAGTAATGGGTAGTTGAAAATAGCAGCAACATCAGAGATGTGCAAAATGACAGCTGCTTATTATTTAACTGACTAAGACATAAACTGTGCAAAAATCAGCATGAATGCAACAACTTATTGAGGTTGTTGGGAACAGAGGTGGTTATAAAGTCTTAACGCTGCTGTTGTCAGAGAGGGATTTAATTAAACCAATTTATATAGTCGGAGTAACAGAAGGAAAGTCACCACCCGTGACCTTAGCTACTGTGCATTTTTGATAGCTTCAGTAGTTAAACATTAGATTCACCTTAAGTCTTTCTGTACTCAAAAACACATTTTTTTTAAAGACCTCTAACGCTCAAATGCAGTGATTATTTGTTAAATCAAACACATTTTTCAGACCAGCCTCTAAATGCAACATAATGAGGCACAGGTACTTGTTTTCAGTTCTAATCTTTTCCAAATATAATGTATTTCCTACTAACATCTGGTTGAAGTAGGAAATTACTTAATTTTTCGAATGTTTAGGATAGTTTAAACTACCTAATGTGTAGTTTTTGTAATATGTCTTTTTTTGAGTAATTAATCCCATTTTATCCACCATTGTACCATTAAAGGCAGCTCAAATATCATCAGTTGTATTAGTAATACAGTTTAGAACCATGGCTGCATAATGTCGAAGGTCATGGGTCATTTCTATCCTCCTTAACCCACCTCACAGGTTTTCAACACAATTTAGGTCTGAGGACAGATATAGAGACATTTTTTTAAAATCAATATTATTACTTTGGCTGTCTGTGAAACATTTTTTATGTTGATGTTACTGTATCATTTAATAATACCACATCTTCAGGTTATTGATGGAGTCTATCTGGTGATTAAAAATCTTCTGGTTTCTTAAAAAGGTTATGATACCATGCACTCTTAACAAGGTTACCACTCTTCAGAAACAGGTGGACAGCGTCATGAATCCTTCCTTACATCATAATGCGAGCAGCGCTAAGACCAACATCTGTACCCACCATCAACACTGACTCAGACACAGCCACAAACCAAGTCTAAAAGTATATTTCACACCTTTAAAATCTGATTAAATCAACATTGTCACCTGTCCTGAATCTCCCTGCTAGTTTGCAGCAGGCCGGTTCTAAACCGCTCGCACAACCAGTGTGCTGGTGTTTCTGTTCTGTTCACCTACAACATAATTACACCCAGATTCCCTACAGGGAGTTTCTCTTTCTAAAAAAGTGTCACTCTTAATTAACTGTCTGGTTTTCCCATCAGAACACACCTATTCAAAAGTCCTGGATTTTAGAAGAAACTAAAAAAAAAAACCTTAGAAACTGGAAATTTGTCCAAAAGAGATTACATTTCCTAAAAAAGAAATCCCACCAGTTTTACTCTCCATAGAGGCTTATCTGCAACCAAATCCACTTCTCACACTAATCCAGCCAAATGTCTTAAACCTCATTGTGATCATTAGTATAAAACAACCTCTTGATTTTTTTCCAAGTAGCTTTTCTTTTAAAACCTTGATCAGATAAGAGTCCAAAAGCTTTTCCAGTTCCACATAATCTCCCTGGTCTGCAGTTTTCTTTCAGCACCACAGCTTTCTGAGACAAACTTTGATAAATAAAAAACAATACTACCCCAATGCAATCTAATTCTCTCTAAAGGCATTGTCAACGACCCTGTGTTTTCTCACCCATTGCTCTGTGTCCAATGAAAGTGATCACCATGCTTTAGGAGTACCTCAGACCAAAGACGACGATGCTTACTGCCTGTCTGCCATCAGTTTCCCTGTTAGTTCACAGGTAGCCTGACCTTGATGCACAATCCTTTAGTGACATGGAGTAGAATGGGATTCTTATAAGCAAAGCATGTTTTTTCCTTTTGAAAACTCCTAAGAAAGTTTAGGAAATAAGGACATAAGCTGGATTATTTCTAGATGACCTGATGGACGTATCTCTAATTGTTACTTTTGGATGTTTGGGGACATCTCATATGTGTTGTAGTTCTGCACCAGAAAGGATTGAAGATTGACTTTTTCTTTTAACTTCCCTTAAATTCCTACTTAATGTGAGAAGCGGTAAAAAAATGGCTGCTCTTTCAGCCTATTTGTATTTATTAGAAAAGTTTGGTTTTCAGAGTACAAAATATTTCTGAATTTGATGTTTGCTTCAATTGATTTTGTAGACCGGAGGTCTTCAACAGGGGGTCCGAGGCCCCTAGGGCGTCCCAGGAGGTACAGCATGGGGGTCGCGAAAGTTTTGGTTGATTAGACTTTTTTTTTTTTTTTTTTATATTCCCCCAACAATTTTTTCCACTAATTGAAATGTCTTTAAATCCACATCAACATGAATTGAACAGACTGTAGTAAACAGATAAATGGAGGCAGAAGATGTCTTTCAGTCATCAATGC